GTGCAGATTCGATCAAGGTTGCCTTGTGCGTTGGTAGAGACGAGCACAAGAGACTGAGACTAAGTGGAACACCATAAGCATAAAAATTAACTAGATCACAAGCTTATGATTGCTAGACAGCGAGTTTCCAATCTAATATATTATTAATATATTAATAAAAAAGGTATATTAATTAAAAACACATTTCATATTATAGTTTTGCTTTTTGGCTTCCGGCTATCAACAAGCCCGGCTAGCTCAGTCGGTAGAGCATGAGACTCTTAATCTCAGGGTCGTGGGTTCGAGCCCCACGTTGGGCGCGATACAAATTTTTTAAGCGTGATTTCTTAAGATTTTACGATTAGCAATTAATAAATTCACTTCATATAATATAGGTTGCATAACTTTTCTTTACAATAACAATAAATATTTTGAACAAAGAAACTTTTGTTTTGACGCGTTGATATGTACATTACATAATCGACCATAAAAGTTATTTAATAGTATATACAAAATAAATGTGCGTTACAAAATCATCTTCTAACCTATCATCCAAAAGCCGAACCAATACTTTTCTGATACGTAATCAGTCGTATTATCCATTGCGCTACAGGACGAAGTCGCCAATTACAATTCAAAGTTATCGAAGACACAATATGAAAATGATAAACTATTTATTATGACAATAAAATCTTGTATACAGAAAACAATATATATTTCCTTAACTTGCCAACTTTGACCATAAAAACATACCTTTTTTTGGCAACTACCTGTCGCACTTGGCAAAGCCAACAACTTAAAAAAAAAAATCGGAAAAACTCTCAGCCACAGTTTGGCTTTCCTGTTTTATCTCACGTACAGCAAACGTTGCCCGGCCTCTAAAGGCCCACACCCACACAGAATTGGGGCTAATGGACCATTGCTGTGCTGCATGCAACGCCAAGAGATTCGGTTTATTATTAGCTCCAAAGAAGTTTGGCGAGGTAAACATATTGGCTTTGTGTTGCGCCAACAGCACGCAGTCGGCGTTACCGCATGAAAATTACAAAACAAGTGAGATTGTTGTCAGTCACGTATGCTCGACGAAATGATACCCTCCACGAATGTGTATAAAATATGGGAAGTAAATGTATCTGAATCAAATAAGCAAAGAGGGAGAGGTGCTTTACTAGCAGATACCCTTTAATCCGAAAATACTTTTGTAGATAAAGAGCATACAATTAATATTATATACAATCTACAGAAATTTAATATACCCTCTAAATTTGTATGTGCAGGTCATCAATATACAAAAGCGCACGCACAAGACACACACACACACACACACACACAAACACTCCCATGAAAACTGTTTCGAAAATTGTGCACGAGCAATACGAAAATAGCGCCGTGAGGCGTTGGCAGGCCGAAAAAAAACGGCTCTCCCGAAAACCTGATTGAAATTGTTAAAAACTAAATGTTTTTCGAACAGTTGAACGTGCAATGAGCAGCCGTGCGGAGTGCAGCCAAAATAAATACGATTGAAAATGTTGTCAAAATATTTGCAAAAAAGTGTGCAGCATTGATATGTAAACATTCTTACAACAAAAATGAGTCCTAAAATAAAAACAAAAAAAAATTAATTAAAAAATCCCAAAAACAAAAACAAATAAAAATAAAAATAGAACAAGCAAAACAATTGAAAATGCAGGAACTGCCGCTTGCTAAATGATTTCGTGCACACTAAATAACAAACAAAAGTTTTGTTGTTTGATTTGTTTTGTGTATCACGAAAGCATTTTAGGCAACGCCTAGCCAAAATACAACAATAACAGCAAAAATAGCGAACGGAAAACAAAAACGTGCCGTGTGCGCGATTTTCGATTTCCAAGTGAAAAACTGCTGAAAAAAAAAACGTGCATAAAAAGCACGAATGCGGTAGCGGCAGCACCCGCTGCGTTAAGCGCATTTAAGGATTTGCATTATTTAAAACAAAGCTCGAGCTGGACTAAAACGGTTTGCCTTCGCCCAAGTCACTTTATAGTGCATCAAAGCCGAATGCATTTGCCGGACCTTTGCAAATCAAAACGTGGCTTAGTGTCCACGCACCGGCCCACGCTCCGGCACCCTCTTCGACCCACGCTCCGACCCACTCGGCAGCCCACTCTTCGGCTCACTCTCCGGTCCACTCTACTGCACTCCTGCAGCTTTAAGCCAGAGCTCTATAGAGTCCTGTTCACGGCCACAAACGCGTCGGAACACGTTCGCAGACAGCGTTTTGTTTATTTGCCTTCGCTGTCCACTCGGCCTGCGGCCCAGTCACATGGCGTATACGTAATTTTTTTCTCTGTTTTACACTGCCAAGGCTTCTGTTTTGCTCTGTCGGCTTAGTGCTTATTGTTGTTTACATTTTAAAGCAATTTAAGTTAGCCGCCTGCAACAAAGACAGACCAATTAGAGCTGACCAAAACGCAGTTAGCCGACTTGCCTACGTCTGCAGTTCCGACTCCCCCTCTCCACCCTCTGTCTATTCATCTACTTTACTGAAATGCATGACGCATTTATAGCCCGGCTGTCCGGCAATTAAGCATTCTTCCGTCCGATAAGATAGGCTACAAGTACTTTAACATGCACCCACAAGTGTGTATCTGTGGGGGTGTGTGTGTCTGTGTGCGGGCTCTTATCGGCCATGATGTTAACCCATATAAATATAGCAAAGCGTAATTTAATAATGCTGCCCAGATAATGGCCAAGTAGCCTTGGGCTTGGCAAATATTTAAGATTCACACTTGAGTTTAGAGAAAGCGAATACAAAATTTAACTAAAGCTAAAAATGCGAGGAATATCGGAGCTACTGAATGTCACAGTCATAATGCGTAATCTCAGTTTGTTTTTATTTTTAATCTACATTATTATCTCAAGGGCAAGTTTTCTCTTCTCAAGTAGACAGCATTTCTTTTCGATGTTTGGTTTGTTATTGTTGATACGAATTATATATGAAAGACAGCGCAAGTCCAAAAATAATAGAGTTTAATCTCTAAGTGTTTGATATGCGATTTCTTGATTTCTTAATTTTTATTTAATCGTTCAATTGCGCTGTTTCCAAGCAATAGATACAAATCGATATCGATATCCCGTTTTTTGAGCTAGAGACACCAAATTTGACATGTAGCCTGTAGAAAAGTATATACAGAGTATATAACTATCTTTATCTTTCAATTTTATAGGCATCGCTAAGCCTCTCCCTCCCTAGCGAGAGCTGCATTTCGTGTTAGTATAAGAAGGTTTAGGGTATCCATAAGTCGGGCACTCCCGATAAGAGCATTCTATGTGTAACTATGCAAGTTGCAGATCTGTGAGTAGACTCTCAGAGCTTAGTTATTTTCTCCTTATTTGTTCTAAGGCTGGCCCAAAAATGCTTTATACTTATTTATGATTTATGATAAAGGTAAAAATCTACTACGGATCGCTAAGATTGGGATAACTGAGCTTGATGTGAGTTATTCTAGTTACGCAAACAATCAAGAAATATTAACAAACTATAAATTCCGCAGCCAATTCCGAAAACCAAATATATATGATTTACGGCGAATTAATCTGATATTTCATAAAGTACGAAATTCCACTCTCAAGCTAAAATTTGATTGAAATTTAGTAGATATTTCTAAAAATAAAACAAATGTTAAATTTATTAACATTTAGTCAGGAAGTCTCATATCAGCCAAAAGGCATTTTTTCACAAAGCTGTAAAAAGTAATATACAAAAATGTATTTATCGGTCGTATTTACGTATAAAGTTAGCTAATTTCACCAGGAAGTTAAAATACAGCTCAGCGCCCAAAATACCATATAGTCGATCCAACAAACAGCACAATAAATAACTGCATTTTATTTGCTGTATCTTTGAAACACAAGTTATTGACAGCTAGCGCTTAGCAAGTATTGATGGGCCATAACAAACCTGGGCCTGATAAGCCAAATCTCAACGAAGGTCAATGGTGTGATATAAGCAACTAAGCGATTGACAATTTTTTGGCCAACAACAACAACAAAACGTGACACATGCCCAGAGCAAGAATGCAGCTGAAAGCGGCAACAAGTTGCGAAGCGCACAGAAAACGGCAGATAACAGAGAGACGCCAGACACAAAGAGGCAAGGGCGGGGGCCATAGGAAGCCATTTACCAGGGCATATATATATTTATATATACATAACTATACGACAAGTAGGTGGCAAAAAGCTGCCAAAAAATTGAAAAAAAATAAGAAGAAGAAAATTCACACACTACAAAAATGTGCTAAACGACAGCAAGGAAAATGATTTTCATTCGTTTACCAAATACAAGCCGCAAAGAGAGCGCAACATACAAATTGTTTTGCAATTTATTTTTATAACTAAACAGACAGAACGATACAGATACAGATACAGATACGCTAGCTAGAGCAGCGGCAACAGCGAGCACAACTTGTGGGCCCAATGTATTTGTATCTTGTTTTTTTGTTTCTTTGTTTATTTATAGATATAGAATAAAAACGCTCGCGAGCGCTGGCACTGGGCTAGCCTGAGAGTCGGAGTCGGAGTCGAGTCGATCGGCGACAAGTCGTGCCAGGCCCACCCCCCTTACCACGGCGCCCCTGCTGCCAGCCAGGCTGCCATCAGCAATCAGCCAAGCACACTCGCATACTCGCACACACGCACACATATATACACCCCTTTATAATTGAGCGCCAAAGAGCGGCAAGCAGAAAGGCAAAAGAAAAATATTGGCAATGCGGAGCCCCAAATCAAATAATGTGGCGCAGGCCAAAAACAGTTTGATGCACAACGCTCGCTCGCGATGACGATGACACAATAGCACGCAATCAAAGGCTGCCTCAGCTCAAAACGGAGTCCATCCCCCACTCAAAAAGCAAATCAAAGAAATAACCGAAAAACTGCTTCAAATATTACGCATACGCAACATGCTCTAATCCATAAAAAAATATAAAAAGTCGCAAAGCTTAAAAATTTTTTGTGTCATTTTTTAAGTTTGTAGCTAAAATAATAAAAAAAATATTGGAAATAAAAATAAAAAAAAATTAAATAAATCAAAATAACACAAATCCTGCTGTGAAGTGAAGTTCAGTCAAAAGAAAATCATTTAATTTTGACACAACGCAAAAAGAAAATGTTTTGTGTTATAAAAAGAAATTTGTGTGAAATATTATAGATAGCAGCAAATAGCAAAAAACAAGTGTGTACAAACGTGCAAATATAAAAAAATATATATATATAAAAAACAATTTTAAATATATCTCAATATACATTGTAAAGCAAAACAACCAAAACGGGCACTCGTCTACGTGAACCCAGCGCCAAGGGACGCAGTCAGAGCAAAATGATCTACATCGATGACTCAGAGCCGGAAGGCGGTAAGTCGTTAACTAGTTACCAACTAATTCAGACGTATATATATATATATTAAAGGGGAATAGTCAATAGTGAGGCTGATAAAGTTGAACAAAGTGAAAAAAGAAAAACGACGACAACGCTGCGTATGCGTATTCCGTATCAGTGACAAGTGATATTTGATAAGATAAGAGTACCTTACAAATATCTATATGTTTATGTGGGTATATACCTGTCCACTGATATGCCGGAAAGTAATATGAGTTTGATTACAGCTGTAAATTGGGCATTAAAAAGCTCTTACAATAGCTCTTGACTAGTTTATTGTAGACAATAATTTATAGAATCTATTTATAGCTGAACTAGTTAAATTATACACAATCTTATTAAAATTGTGATAAGCTAAGGTCAAGGTCGGTCGGGAAAGCACAAAAGTAAAGTCGAGTGTGTGAATAACAGAGATAATTAGATGAAGTTGTATATCTCTACATCCTACTAAATTTAAGCGGGTCAATCAACTAAAAATTCTGATCGTCATTCAACAAAAGTACAATTTTCATAAAAGTTAATTTCTTTTGAACTGCAACTTCTTATTGCCCCCACTCTGCCCAAGATATAAAGCTAAAAAGAAACGACTGCAAATAGACAAATCAAATCAAGACAAATCTACAGATTAGCAGCTGTTCCCTTTCATTTTTGGGGTCTTTTGCCAATTTAGTTATCGCTTCTAACTACGCTTTAATAAAGGACCAACAGCCCAGGCGCAATAAACATTTCTGTGCCATGATGCAAGGCATTAAGTTTTATGCACAGATAAAAACCGAAACCGAACAACAACGAAATATCTGTAAAAATCAAGCAAAAATAAAGCCAGCCGAAAAAAACAACAAAATACAGAACAAATGCTTAAACGATTTAGAGCCAATGCGGCTCAGCTACCAAATGGCCAAGGCTTTTAAAAATACATGAATTTCAATAAAATACGACAATGGAGCAGGCAGCTAAAATACCAAAAAAAAAAAAATAAAAAAATAACAAAACGGGGAGGAAAAGGGTCCATAGATAAGACGGGCTGTGATCAGGAAACGTTTGCGCCGCCATTTTCATTGTCAGAAACAATAAATTTCACACATAAAACACTGAAAGCAAATGCTTTTTTTCTTGTTGCCATTCATATTAAAGTTTGGGCGCTGGCAACCAAAAGGCGTTGAAGGATAAACGTCAAGCGTAAATTTGGGAATGGGGACGCAGGAAAGTGGGCGAGGGGAAGCGGCGGCGGGTAAGCTTCGGGTATGCGTAAGTGTAACTACAGTGGCTTTGCTTTGAAAATTTGCACTGGCTTAGAAACCTAAGACAATGTCAGGCCGCCTCAAACGGAAACGGAAGTGTCAAGTAGTTGGATGGGCGACAAAAGAGAGAACGAGATAGAGACAAAAAGAGAGAGAGAGAGGGAGCAAAGAACAAAAAGTCAGACAAAATAAAAGGCAAAAGCATATAGCATGAAAAATGGCAAGCGCGAAGCAATTTGAAAAATGAAAAGGGCAACGAGTGGAAATCAAAACAAAAAAAAATGCAAACGTTGTACAATACACAGGCTAAGTTACCAAAAGACATTACCAAACTAAGAAATACCCTGTAATACAAAAATCGCGAATAAAACGAATATTTAGCGGGTTTGATTGGGAGTGTAAACGTCAACAAAGAGATGTTTTATATAGTTGAGACGCTTTATTTATCAATTCGATTTTGTACATCTTAATTCAGTCTATGGAAAGGGGTCAGCAAGAAACATTTTATTTATCAATATACTTTTGAATATCTTAATGTTTTCCTGAACAGGGGGTAAGAAAATATTTAAAATGTGAACTCTGACTTACATATTTTTGATCATTCAACAGAGTCGATAACCTAATAATAAAAGGGTCAACATTTTTAAAACACTTTATTTAAAATAATATTTTTATATATATCAACTATCTATTTAAAAATGGGTAAAAAATACATAAGTACAGTCAATTATGCTTTAATGACCTATTTAATAAAAGAGGTTGAAATATGTAAGATATTTTAATTCAATTAAAATATAAAGTTAACTGCGCTCAGGGAAATAGTTGTAGAATGTGCATCCATTCTACGTCTAATACTTCAAAGATCGCCAATAATGTGTGTCTTAATAATTGTTATTCAATTGCATTTCGATGAAAAATAAAATATATCAAAATAATTACGCTTAAGCATATTAAAATACTTATTTCTGTGATCCCAATAATTGAGTATGTGTTACATTAATCCCAATTATTTGAGTGAAAACACTTCGCAAATTAAGTATCAGATCGCGCTTAGTTCTTGCACACAGGGTATTAGCTATGGCATGTGCTCTTGTATTTGCCTTCGTGTTTTCGGGGTGTGACCGCACACGGGCGTCGTGATTTAGTGTCGGGCAACCTCACAACGCCTACGTCACGCCCATAAGCCAAAAAAATAAGAAAAAAAAGAAAAGGGTTGCGCTGCGGCGGCTCGATTTCCCAGGCTGTTTTCTCAAATTGGCAAATAACAACAAACGGAAATACTTTTGCTACAGGTGTGAGGAACTTGAAACCCTTTTTCAGTGAGTGTGTGTGTGTGAATGTGTGCTGGCAAATTGCTCAGTTTTTATTTATCTCCTCCGTGTGTGTGTGTGTAGGCTTTTGTCTGGCTGTTGACACAGCTGAATTATGTGCTAATGGCGCGAAAGCTGATTTCTCAATTTCCGTTTAGGGACCCAGCCGGTTTGTTAAATGATCTCAATGCGCTCTCTCTCAACAAACTTGCCTCAAATTGTATCTGCCACAAACGACTTTAACAGCCAAGCGGAAATGAAAAAAAATTTCAACAGCAACTGCACGGAAATTACCAAACCGCACAGAAATTAAAAATACTCGTTAATAAAACTATGTAAATACAGTTTTCAGTGTCTTTTTATGAAACATACGAATATAAATTATTTAAAGCTTTGCCAACACTTCGAATTTACTTTATTTATTTAATGGAGCTGTGATTTAGTCTACTACACAAACAATTGAAAAATTCAATCGCTTTATCAGCGCTAAGCCCAACAAATTGCTAGCTAAATAATTTATACAATATTTTCATATACACACATGTAATTTTTGTTTTAACATTTAAAAACATGCAGACAGCTACCGACCGACAAAAAAAAAATGCATAAAACTGCTGGCCAACGCATCATGTTGGCGTCATTTAATGCGCACAAATTTCGTATATTTGGCTAAGAGATTTTCGGGGCACAGTAAAAAAATTTACAAGCAATCTGAACAACGAGAATCGTTGAAAATGAACTTAAGGCCGATTGAAAATTTAAGCCGTTCCTAGCTCTTGCGGCTTGGGCTGCGTTGCGTTGATCACCAATCAATCTCTCAGTCTGTTAGTTAGTCAGTCAGTAAATCAGTCTTTCCGTTAGTCAATCAGTCAGACAGCCAATCAATCAGTTAGTCAATCAATCAGTCAGTCAGTGAGCCAGTCAGTAAGTTAAGCATCCAGTCAGTCAAAATTAAATAGAAAGTCTTCAAAAATTAAATGATTTAATAAATAATGCAATTAAGGCTATTATAGAACTTCATGAAGCCCTATTGAGCGCTGTTCTAACCATTCTTACATCAATGACATTGAAGTTTTGTTTTTTTTTTTTTTTGTGTGGAAAAGAGCTGTAGATAGCATGCAGCGCATTCTCAGCTAGCGAGTTTTCACTGTATGTAGATAGATATTTCATTCTTTTTTACGCGTTTGCCGCACAAATATCAAAATAATTTTTATTTTGCTTTTAATTTTTGTACGTTGCCAAGGTGAATGTAAAGCAAACACACACGCGCACACACACACACCTACACATAGAGAAAGACACACAACAATTTTTCACTTCACGTCTCTGAGTAACTGCCCCAACCCGTCGAAGCAGCGGGCAGCGCAAATGAGCAAAAATGAAAAGCAGCACACCAACACACACACGTACACACACACCCGCACACACTCAAACGCATAGAAAAGATATCTAAATATATATGTAGTACATATATATAATTGAGATAAATTTATTTTACGTCGCATTTCATGTTGAAGGTCGTTCGTTGATATTCACTTCATTTGACGTTGCAAATTCCTTGCGGCTGTCTCATGCAGAGAGCGTTCTTCTATTTCGTTTTTGGGGTTTTTACAGTTTACACTAATGATCGACAAATTTGTGTACACAGCAGCAATTTGGAATACACAATCTATATAAATATATATATATATATATATATATATATATATATAGATGCAATAATTTTGCTAAATGTCAATTAATTATGTAAATATTTTTACTGTCGAATTCAGAATTTGGCTTCCTGCTTTGGGTGCACTTCCCTCATGTGATTTCTTTTGAGCATTTCTATTCTTTGTCTCTGCTTGCTTTTTGGATGCTTTTTTCTTTTGTTTAGAATCGTTTGGCTGCTATATATAATGTATATTTAAAAACTGAATGAACGTGATTATGTCTCGGTGTCTATGTGCGCCGATATTGGCAAGAAACCAAGATTTAATGAATATTTTTACGTTTTCCGCTCGACTGACAAATGGAGGTATACGGGTTTTATATTCATTTTTTGTTCTCTTTGTAGGAATTTCGGTGGTTAGGAGAAATATTTGTGTAATTCACACACTAGAAATATTACATAAATTCTAGCTATAATTTATTTTATATAAATAGAAGTTCAGCTCTTGGCTGTATACTAATAAATTTATATAAATAATGTACACAACAACAACAAATTTGCTTAGCAATAAACTTCTAATTAAACTAAATGAAAGCCTGCACACATGTTTTTAAATATAAATCATTGTGAAAATCCCATAAGTAAGACACATCATTTCTAAAACCGATTAACAATAAAGGCTAAGCACTGTGTGGGAATGCCTTAAAAGCAAAATAACTTTAAGCATATATAAATGTTTATTGTTGTAAGCAATTGAACTGTTATTTGAAAGT